TTAAATAATAAAATATTAAATTTTACAAAAATACTTATTATAATCTATATTTTATAAATAAGATATATATTAATAAAAAGTATATCTACTAACTTTTTTAATAAATTTAATATTTTGCTTCTTAATTTCTAAACTTTTAGATTATATTGTATTATATTATAATATAACATTAATAATTAAAATTATAAATTAATTAATAAATAATATAAAATATATTATTTTATTTAATAAAAATATCATAATATACAATATATATTAAAGATTTTATAAATAAAGTTTAAGATTTTTTTATTTATAATTATAATTTATCAATATATATATATACTTTTTTTAAAAATTATTATCCACTTAATGGACAATCATTTAAAAAAAGTCGTTTTATATAAATTCTCTCTAAATGTATATTATCTAAATTATAAGATCTTTAATTATTTTTTATTTAAGTATAAAAAGCATATTCTGTTTATTTTATGATTCAAATGTTAAGCAATTTTTTTTTTTTTATATACATATCGATTTTTAGCAAACTTTTTTTTACACCAATTATTCTAAAATCGGTTCATTACTAAATATAGTTTAATAATGATAACCAATTCAAACTAACATTCAAACTATAATAAAAATGTAATGCAAATTAGAAACAGCTGATACACAGCTGGTGTTACATGATTGAACATAAAATGACTTTTTTTGACAGAATTTTTTTTTTTTTTTTTTTTGCGCTCTTTCAATTAAAATTTATCCGGCGCAGTTCAAGGAATTTTAATAATGTCGTCGTTTTATTTACCTAACGAATGTATTCAAGATATTTTAAATTATGTAGAAGAAAAAGATAACAAAACATTGCATTCTGCATTACTAGTGAATCGAACATGGTGTCAAAACACAGTTTCGTTTCTTTGGAAGAAACCATTCAGCTCACCACCATCTGATTCACAGAACAATTATAAGATTATTCCAATTTTAGCGTCATTTATTGATGACGACGAAAAGAAACAATTTAAAATCAAAGAGAAAGAACTTCCTGTACCAAAGAAGACAACATTTGATTATCCTTCATTTATAAAACATTTAGATTTTGTCAATTTGTGGAGACAAGTTTTCAAATGTACAACATCATCACGCAATTCTGATCACATTTCAATGAATGAATTATATCCTTCAACTAAATTTACAATGTGTCCAGCAAGTCTTCAAGATGAATTTAAATCTGCGCTGCAACAAAAAGCCGAAGTCGTAAAATCTCTTTATGAAGTGATATTACAACGAAATAGGTTGGAAAGGTTAAGTTTATCGATGAAAGATTGGCATTTTCCAAATTATAATGAGTATATCTTTGATTCTTTGACATCAACGCCTAACGCTCAGAATGCGTTAGCAAGATTAACAAGATTTGATTGTAATTTAGCTGCAACAAATTTCCCAGTTTTATCTAACCTTTCATCAGTCTCAAAAGGGATTAAAACACTTTCCATACAAATCTTTCGACATATATATCGTGATGGTCAACTACCTGAATTATCAAAGCTCATTGAATCACAACATTCCTTGGAACAAATCAATATTTTCAAAGATCATAAATGTAATGATATTTCAATCGATTTATCAGCTCTCGTTTCACAGACTCATTCCCTTAAAAAATTAAAATTACATTATGTTACAATCGATGATGAACAACTTAAACATATCACAAAACTTCAAAAACTTCAGGAATTGATGTTCACTTGTGTTAGGTTGCGTGGTAAGATGACTTTATTGACGAAGGCTTGCTTTCCAAATTTAAAAGTACTTCGAATATATAGTACTTTTATTTATAATAATAGTAATATTCATGAGAGGAGTAAATCAGATCAGAAAGAAATAGATCCTTTCGTTGGGTTGATGATGAATAATGGAACGCATTTGAGGGATTTAAGTTTGGAATTTAAATTGGCTTTTCATCCTGAATTATTAAAAAATGTGGCAAAATATTGTGAAAATTTAATCACATTTACCACTTATTATTATGACGTCAATGACATGTCCGGCATATACGAAGTATTAGAAAAGTGTTCAAAAATTGAATTATTTGGTATTGATGGGTTTGCCAATATGCCTTTTGATACGATTAAAAAATTTTCAAAAAAAGTTCCATCAAATGTTAAAAAATTGGATTTTAGATACGATTGTTTAGATATGGATGCTCTTAAAGTTTTCTTAGAGAGTTACGAAGGTCACGACGTTAGGTATTTAATTTGTAATGTTAAAGGTGACAAGAAGGTATTGAAGGATATGATCGAAGAAATTTCAAAGGGGAAAGGGAGAAACATTAAGACATGCTCTGTTGAACGTGGAAGTTCCGACGAAAAAGTTGTAAACATTGAATGGTGATCCATTTTTTCATTTTGCATCCAAAGATTTATTTATTTATTTAAACAATTTAGAAGGGTATTTTTATTTTACCATTTTTTTTTTATTTATGTACACGTCATGTATCACTTGTAAAATTTATGGATTTGAAATAAATTTTTTTTTTTTTTATTGTAAAGAATATATATATATATATATATAATACACAAAATAAATCATCAATACACCACGCCAAGAGAAAATCCAGAATTATGAAAGGGAAAATGATACGATCCCACCCGCGAGAATCAAACAGATCATCTTTTTTTATGAGTGTAACCATTATGATTCAAGGAAGAAGAAGCGGCAGCAGCCAAATTAGCTCTTTTTGGTTTTTCAAAAATTTGATAAACTTCATAATCTAGAATAGGTAAAGAATTTGAATTGTCCTTAGACATCCATAATATTGAACGTTTACCATGTGGAAAGGCTAGTAATCCTTCAGTACCGAAACAAGGACCATAACCGGGTTTCTTGTGAATAGCGAATCTATTAAGTCTCTTTAGATCAACCTGATTACGATCAAAATTAAATATAAAACTATCAGAAGTTGAGTGATCAAATTTCCAATCTAATGGATTATAACCACCATAAAGGGCCTCCGTCATTTTAAATACTACCACGGTCTTTTGAAGGTTTCCGCATTTTAAATTGAATAAATCAGGAGAGAATCCATCACGATTTCCACGTATGATTAATTTGAATTCATAAGGAATTTCTGCTGGTAAATATGGTTTGTCTTCCCTTTTATCAATCCAGCTAGAAATCAAAGTCGCTTGACAAATATTAAGAATCGTTTCATTAAACTGTAAAGAAATAGGTGATTTGATGGAGAAAGATGAGCACGCCTTTTTCAATTGTTGCGTTAGAACCGTATTAAACTTTTCAGCTGGTAGGAATGGTTCACATGGAATTAAAAGATCATAAAATTCATCCCAATTTAAATTCATGATGCTTTGCCACGGAATACACGGATTTAAAGATTCTTTAAATTCTTCCCAATCATCTTTTCTCCAATTTGTAACATGATTAGTTAGTCCTGGATTTTGTAATTTTGCCCAATTAACGATAAATCCCCAAAGGGTTTCGTTTAATTTTAGGCATCCAATTTCATCAAGCGACGATAAAATATGTGGATTAAAACTATCAGGTATTTCGAATATTGATAAAGGATTGGACGCTATTCTTGTAGTATAATGATTTTGTATGATATTAAAAGATTTTCTACTATACATTAATCTATGATGTGAATAAAAATTTTTATCCATCCATTCTCTTTGTTGACCAATCAAAAATTCTTGAATTTGAACCAATGCTTCCTCAAGTCCAAGATTATCTGCAGCAAAGAGCAAATCAAATGCTTGCTTTCCATCACAATTCAAGAATTCGAGTTTACCTGTGTATATGTATCTAAACGATAAAAAGAAAAATGCCCAGATCAAATTCAAAAAATTCAAAAAAAAAAAGCGAAAATTTTCGCGTAATGACTAATCGACTTACTTGAGAATGATTTCAAAAATTGCAGGAGAAATATTGTGGGTGATTACGATTTTATCATATTCTTGTTTTGCCTGGTCACTTTGTAAATATTGGTGAAAATAAGGCACTCTTGCCCGAAGAATAAGTGAATGTGCTTGAAATTCTTTAGCGTCATTACTTCCTTTATTTCCTACACGAATAATAACATCATAAAAGGCTTTAGTTTCAAAAATTTTGTTAAGATCACGCGAAAGTTTTGAAAGTAAATGAAATGTCATCTCGTTAATATAAATAAATTTAAAGAATTGAAGAGAGAAAAAAAAACAAAGATAAATAAGGAATTAGCCAACCAACACGAATTTTAATTTATATATGAATGTATGAGATTGTTGATCGTACACTTTCGGTAAAGCTTGTTCATTCGATTGACAATGAAATCATGCAACCCTATGCAGTTCAGATCATGTGATTTGCCTATAATTTGCTATTGAAAGTAGTGGCGTAATGGAAAGCGAGAATTGTTTACAGAATCACATGTCAATTCAATTCTTTTTTTTTATAAAAAAAAAGAAATGAACCCAAATAAGGAAGGTTATATTTGGATTTTATAGTATTAGAACATGTATCTTTTGGTGAAAACTCATTTGTTCCCTTTTTTTTTTTTTTTTTTTTAATTTATTTTTTTTTTCTTTTTTGACCAAATTTTTTCAGGTCGTGTAACAAATAATATTATTAATGAAACATTCTCACTAATTGTTCATGAAACAATAATTCACCCACTTGATTATACTATATATCATATTGTCAGTTAAGAATCAAGTGTGTAAGGCGCACAGCAATGATGCAACGCAGTAATTTTTGGGTGAGCAGACGCGTGTTTAGTTTCTTTGTGGGGTCTTTGATAAGTAAGAACAAGAACGAAACTCGTATTTACATTTATAGAATAAAATGAAATTTTAAAAAGCAGACGAGCCTTGCCTAATTTAGAAGTTATATGTTTCAAGGTTTGTATTACAGAAGATCCGTAAAAAATTGGTATTTATATGATTTGCATTAAATTTACATAAATTGCATGATGTAACAACGAACTCTCTTTTTTAAGACTGGGTTGTTTAATTTTTCGTTATTAGAAAATGTCTTTCAACAATAATTTACCCAACGAATGTATCCAAAATATTTTAAGGCACGTCAAGAAAAGTGACTATAATACGTTTCATGCAGCCATTTTAATAAATCGCAAATGGTGTCAGAATGGTATTATGTTTCTTTGGCAACAACCTTTCAATATTCCTGTTAACTTTAAACATCGTTATAAATTAATTTCTATTTTTCATTATTTCTTTGATGTGAACCAAGATGAATTATATTCGACCATCGCGCCATCATTTAATTATCCTAGTTTTCTTAAAAGTCTTCATTCGGATAATTTGGCCAAGATTGTCTTGGAATGGATAGCAAAACATACTTTTAAACCAAAGAAAACAAGGAAGCAAAATCGTAACGAACGTACAAAGTTATATCAACCAACATTCTTTACATTATATCGTAACAATAATACAAGTTCTGTTGGATCAATGATTAAATTTAATTTATTTAAAAAAATATTTAAATCAAAATTCTCATTTGATTCAAAATCTTTTCAAGAAAAATTCTCTCTAATAATTCAATCCATTTTAAATGTTGTTGCGGAAAATTGTGTAAACATTGAATGTTTACGTGTAGGTAATGAATATTCAGAATACGTGGAAGATTATTTATTAAAGCACGAATGTTTTAAACATTTAACCACTTTCAAATGTCATCAACCGAACATTGACCCCACGATATTCCTTCGATTTTCCAATTATATGCAAAACATCAACACCTTATCCATCACCATATCGAATAATAACATATTTGATGATTGTAAACTTAAAGAATTGGTTCATCTGATAGATTCTCAAAGACACCTTCAATCGCTTAGCATTAGAAATCAATATAACGCGGACATGTCCTTGTTATTTGAGGCCATGTCAAGAAAGTCAAATACATTACGAAAGCTTGAATTAATTTCGCATAGAAATCTCAAGCACGATGAGGCAAAACATTTATCACATTGTGTCAATTTAAATGAATTATCAATTTATGGCGTTAGAATTTGTCAAGAATTAGATCCTTTATTATTTAATTCTAAATTTTATCATCTTAAAGTTCTCAAGTTCGTGGAGACGAGTTGGTTTTATGAATCATCATCATCATCTCCTTTTATTTCAATGATTACAAATAATGGTGCTTTATTAAATCATCTTCATTTAGATTTAGATTTAAAGCATAATTTAAACCTATTAAGGACAATTTCAAAATGTTGTTTAAACCTTTCCACTTTTATTATTACTATAAACGAAGGTGAAATGTTTCGTTTACTTTATCCTATATTTAAGAATTGTAAAAATTTAAAATCGATTCATATTTATAAAATTCATAAAGATGGGATAACTGAAGAAATCTTGACGGATTTTATTAATCATATTTCAATCAATTTATCTTCTTTAGTTTTAAACAAGATCAAATTTTTTTTAAATGATTATCACGGTGATGAAATTGGTAAACAAGTTCTTTTAGTTCAATTAATGAGATACTTTATTCAATCATCATTGTAATATATAATAAATTACAATTAATAATGATGTTGATATCATACTTCAAATTCCAGACGAACAGATTGGGGAATGATTTAAAATTTTTATTTTTTACGTCAGGGCTTTAATAAAAGGAGTGCTTTAATTAATTGTTAAAACAAAAAAAAAAAAAATGTGAACCTTATTGATCTCAATGTAACGTCAATGATAGAGATAATGCGAGTGATGTTAGATGGATCAAGATCTTTAGATCTAATTTCTGATTTAGGATAATTTTTTCTTGAATTTGATCGTCATTTTATATTAACCTTCAAAAATAAAGTTGTTGCGTTACCACCGAATTATGGCACGAGCTTCCACGTTGAAGTTTGTTGTACAATGATCATTATGTGATCATTTTGAGAGCATTGTGTGATCAGAAATATGAAATAATGAGAAAAAAAATATTTATATAAGGGACGAGACGATTGTGAATTTTACAAATTTATGCGTTGTAATGGTATTGGAGAATGAAGGCATAAAAAAAAAAAAAAAAGTTTAAAAACCAAAAAAAAAGTTTACATATTTAACAATATACAAGTTACGAACTTTCTTCAATTGATAACTCTTATAAACCGAAAATTTCTCATACGTTGCTTATAAGATCCATTAAAATAATGTCCTCAACGAATAAATGCTTGATAGATATTTCACAAAAAAGATATTCCAAAAATGAATCACAAATGAGTGATGATTTATGTAAAGATTTTAATAGAAATGTGAAAAGGAATTGGATATTTGAAATTATCGAAAATGGAAAAAGAAATGAAAAGAATTTTGTTCCTTTTGAATTTAATCTTGAATTGGGTAAAATTTTAGAGGTAGATGATAAAGGATGGAAAAATTACAGAACGGACGTTGATGATACAGTTGCACAATGTGGTTTGGGATCTATTTTTAGATTCTATTGGATATTTAAAAAGATTTTTCTTAAAAAATTTTAATGTAACTTGATTAAATTGATTGATTTTTTTTTAAACCGTTGTCAGCCACGAATTCAAAATATAAGCCTCATGGATATTTTAGGCATCAAAAAATTTTCTTAAAAAACAATCCATGTCAAATTTGGAGGAAAGGTCAAATTACGGAAAATATCACCGACAAAATTAAGATCAAATTTGGTTTTATGTGTATTGGAATCATAGTCTTTAGTTTTAATAATATCATATTGATGTGATGTTAGTTAAAATGATATTTCAACGCTTCCAATCATATACAAATTAAAATACAAAGGATAATATTCTATCAATCAAAGATACGATTTAGAAGGGATTTCCTTCCCACTTTGGATTCTGGTCGTGATATCACTTTAAAAAAGAATTTCACATTGGCTGAGATCTTGTTATTATTTTCCCGGTTATTATAAAGTGCAGGAACTCTGATATGGCACACTTATCACGACGGTTGATAACCTTGAAGGGTGGCAATTTTATTTTCATGGATTGGTCCTTTATAACTCGACTCGATTACAACCATACATCGCCATCCATGATTGTGAATATAAAATTTCTTGGACTTTATTATTTAATGGAAACATATATAGAAAATGTAGATTTCATAAGTTGGTTGCTTATTGACTTTTTGGTTTCACCTTTTTCCCTTTTGATAATTCTTACGCTTCTTATGGTTATACCATTATGCCTGATGTTTTTAACAAGTTTACAAGGTGAGAGATAATACTAAAGAAAAAAAATCTTTTTCCCTCTTTTTTTTTTTAAAAAAAAAAAAAAACTTAATATTATCCATTTTATTTATTACATTGTTAAGTAACATTGTAGTTTATGAAAATGCACCATTTCTTCCTATTATACGCCGCACAGATTATTATAGTTTTCCGACCGACCGATAAAAATTTCAGAATTTCTAAAAAAAAAAAAAAAAAAAAAAAAAAAAAATAGCTTTCTTTTCTTACAAAATATATTATATATATGACATGATTGATTTAAACAAAAAATACAAGTGAGATTTTGTGCTTACCCATTTTCGAAATTCTGATTGGGGAACATAACGCCTTTATTTACCTTTATTTATGATACAAAGGCGGAAGATTTAGAATTTTCTGTATTTTGCACAACAACAATCTATAATAATCTATAATCTATTTTCGGTAATAACAGATATAAAACTGAACAAATACCCCCCTTAAAAAAAAAAAAAAGGGCGAAAAAAAGAAAACTATTCATATGATTTCCTCGAGGTGATGATCATCATCAAAACAATTTCACCTTTTTCTTTAGTTATTTTTTTGAACATCACAATAAATTTGAAAACCCCAAAAGAAAGATGCGAGAATACACATAAAGTTTTGCCAAAGAAACATGTGACATGTGATAGCATTTATGAACTGTGGGATATCAAAATAAATTGACATAATTTGACATAATTTTCAAATGCACAAAGAAGGTAACGGAAATTTGATTTTACCGCACCTTTATCTTTATCAGATTATTTTAATATGGTTACTGAAAAAAAAAAAAAAAAGGCTTTGTTTAAGTCTATATAGATCGGCATTTAGAATAACAACAATTAAGTTACAAAGATTGACAAATCGTCATTTATTTATTTTTTTTTTTTTAAAGTTTGCAAGATAATCGAAGAATTTACCAAAAATTAAAATATTATAGTATCAAAATATAGATATGATTGTTCTTTCAATGGAGAAGTCATTGTTTTAAACAAGTATAATAAAACTTTAATCTAAGCTTAATTTGACAGTTTATTTTTTTTTATAAAATAAAAAAATTTTTCAACTGCAAGAAATGCATTATTGCCCCACTATCATCCCCCACGAAAAAAAATTTTTTGTGTACGATCTGCATGCAGGTAATGCGCCTTAACGCACATACTAAATCTAATTTAAAAAGAAGAAAAAGAAAAAAAAATTTCTTAAGAGGCTGCGGTAACTGCGTCACGCATCAACAATGGGCACATCATAAAACTATTTTTTTTGCTGTAAGGGAATTAATGCTGCAAGATGTTAGTCAGGTGATTGCTTAAACACTAAACCAAAGGCGCATCAACGAAGATATGCAGGCGTAAAAATAATAAATATGGAAAAATTAGAAACTATCTCCAATAATTTAATTATTATTCTATTCAATTAAATTGTGTTATTTACCATATAAAAATATAATTTGTAAATCAATAATAGTAGTGGAAATTCGAGAAAAAAAAAATTTTTTTTTTTTTTTTTTTTTTTTGTTTTTAATTTTGGTTTATAAATTTATTTCTCTCTCTCTCTCTCTCTCTCTCTCTCCCTTCCCATAATAGAATGTTTAAGAGTTTTTTTATATTCACTTTAAAATATTTTTTTTTTTCAAAAACGCTGACAATGTTGTATAGAATAATAATCTTTCTCATACATTGTTATTTACAATTCTATGATAATTTAACAAATTTCTTGTTTATATATTATATGGCAATGAGATTCCGTATCGAACATTTGAGTCGGAGTTTCTTCTTTCGAACAAATCGTTCACAACAATTACCTCCCGAATGTCTCGTGGGGGTATTTGAACTTTTAGAAAATGATATTTCTGCGCTTCATTCTTGCATCCGGGTAAATCGAAATTGGTGTTGCCTCGCCGTCCCCGTCCTTTGGAGACGTCCGTTTGAACACGTGCATTCAGAGAATTCTGGATCGCTCGCAATCGGGACGTACATCAGCTGTCTCCCAAATGATGACAAGCAACGGTTAAAAAGTCGTTACGTGACAATACCTACTCAACTAGGTCAACCAATTTTTTTTTATCCAAAGTTTCTTCAAGGGTTTGATTGTGATAATTTCATATCATCCGTGCGCGCTTGGATAAGCGGTGATCCGGAACCTGAATTGATTCAACTCACGGCTCGGCTGATTGGAAATATGATCTTTCGTAGATCACGCGGGTTAAAAAATCTCAGGTACCTACGTAAAGAGGTACCTGATGACATGACTTTGGTGGATTTCTTGACATACACGGAAGTGATTAGAGCGTTAACCAGATTACAAAAGTTTGAATTTCGTAGTTCACACGTGGCGGATAGGGATTTTACGCGCGCGTGGCTCAACCTTTTCTCCAAAGCTTCCACATCATCGAAAAATTTACGACACATAACCGTTCACATCAAAAAGAGAAATCGTGACGCTTATCTAGAACTCGATCATTCAATAACGGATTTAATAGGGGTACAAAAATGTGTGCAAAGCATCTCGGTGAATTCATTCTGGAGCACTTCAAACTCACAATCAATATATCAAGCCATGTTACGACATTCGCGTTCACTGAATTATTTGAGGATACAAGGTTTATCGGATTTACCCTTGTTGCTTCAAGTGTTGAGATCTTGCAGAAATTTAAAAACGTTAGAATTTGCTCAAAGTTGGATTAGAGATGATAATTTCACGATAATACCTTCAACGCACACGTTAAGCATTCAACACCTTTATTATTATTTTGATTATGGACCTTTGAATTTTATAAATGAGCTATTACGAATGTCAAGTCACAATTTAAAATCATTTTCAAGCAAACAATTCACACCTTTAATCATAACAACTATTCGTAATTACTGTCCAAACATCACACATTTATGTGTCAGATTAATACCTTCTGATTTTACATTATTTGAACAATTATTGAACACTTTACAACTTGAACATTTAACAATACAAACACCTTATAATCAACCTCGATTTACTTATGAACAAATCATAAGATTAGCCTTAACGTTACCCGAGTCTTGTACGTATCTTGGTGTGGATTTTGATATTTATCCTTACGAATTAGACGTATTCTTGACGAGATGTAACGCTAAACTAAAAATCCTCACGCTGCATAATACATCAAAAGGTCCCTTTGAATATATGGACGTCATTACAAGGCATGCGAGTAGTTTAAGTTTAAGAGAGGTTAGATTACAAAGAAACAGTTCCAATATATACATGACCGAATATCGATATAAAAAATGGTTAAATGAAGAAATATATCTAAAATATGTAAAACATAGGTATAATAATAATTTACTCCCAAAAATATCTGAAGCAAAACCAATATCATTTAGTTATCATGGTAAGCTTTTTCCTCGATGCTATTTATTTTTGAAATTGACGTTAAAACGCACTTTTCATTAATTTTTTTTTTTTTTTTTTTTTTTAGAGACAATATTTAATACCAACTTTTTAATGTAAACATTATAAAAATTATTTAGAATATAGATAATAATATTATCCTCTTTTAGAAAGTCATTATAAATATAAACTTAGATTGTATGTATGTATTGAACTCTCTTATATAATTCTTATTGTATATTTTTTTTTATCTGTTTCACTTCAACTTTGTAAATAATATAAAATAATAAATATAATTTTTTTCAAATGATTTGTCATTAATTTGAACTCATAAGGCAAATTTTCTTTTTTTTTTTAATGAACAAAAAGTGATTAAAGAGTCCAAGCATGCATTTATAAATGAATTCAAGATTTCGTTTGTTCGTGCGACTTTCTGTGTAACACTGCATCGTTTACTGAAATTAATTACCGAACCTTTCTCCTTGACAAATGTGAACGTTTTCATTCTGCATTTATGTGGATCATTATACAGACAATTTTATTATTAAAAAAAAAAATTTTTATAGAATTAGTTAACATCACGGATACATACGGAAATTAAAATTACTACCTACCGTAGAGCGCTGACTAAACCACCCCGGGTATTTTACAAATCTACCCTTAAATTTGCAAAATACCCGGGTAGTTTGATCAGGGGGGTATTTTGTAAGAAGGAGGGTGGCTTGAATGGTTATGTAGATCATCAATATATAAAGTTTTTTGGCGTTCTATTTTTTGTATCGCGTTCCACTTTTTTTGTATCGCGTTTCACTATTATACTATTAAAAATGGTTAGAGCAAATAAAAGTGCCAAGCGTTCTAGGTTTACTCTTAAAAAAAAGAGAAATTGGTCAGTCTGCGAAAAATTAATGGTTTTGCATTTTTTAAATGGTTCAAATAGTGTTTGTGCTACTGCAAGACATTTTGATTTACAACCAAACCAAGTTCGTGACTGGAAGAATAAAAAAGACCAACTTAAAGCCTCTGCACCTCATTTATTGAAATTACACAGAAGTAGACAAGCATCTTTTTTGGAATTAGAAAATGAGTTAGCAAATTGGATTTTGGAATGTAGAGAACAAGGTCTCCCA